TTGATGATCGAGTGATTGCAAGTGCTACTGTCTTGTAAGGAATATCGGGAATTTCCGAGTCAGAAGTAATGTGTTTTATTATGATTTCGGCTTACTCACGTAATTATTTGAAGAGGATATGAGCCTCTAGCATGGCTTGAAACTAGTCGAGTTCCTCGTCAAATAATTACGTGAGTAAGCCGAAAACATAATAATTTATTTAGTATGTCTCACGAAAGTTATAATAGGTACAAGTAATGTGTTTTGCCTTTGATTTTTCGAAAATTTTATTAGGAATTTGGATCATGTCGCTTATAACATGGGACTTATAATATGAAGTAAGAAGTTCTCATTCTAGAACTGTTCTTACATTTTAACTGTTAGAACGTACCTACAAAACTTTACGGTCACAAAATACCTACTTAAATCTATAATTAACCGCGAAGTTAAATACTGTAGTTAAATTTTGATTGATAGTTAGTTTGTTTCTTTTGTACTATACAATAACTAGTCAGTGTAGCTACATGACAGGTTCTATGTAGAGGTTAAATGTTAACTACTGTAGTTACTGACAATAATACTTTTAAATGTATTTATTTTACCTTGAAAGATTAATGATTTCTTATATTTTATAGTTGTTTAAACATTTTGTATGATTATTATAATATATTTAACTGTGTATAAAAATATTAATATAATATTATTAATGCTTAAATAATCCGTAGAAATTATAGGTAATAAAAGTCAATTTACGCGTTTATTTACCTGCATTATGCAGAGTCTGCAGATTTTTGCAAAGTTTTCAATTAAATAATAGACAGTACGATTTTTGAAGAAGATTAAGTAATTTTGAACACATGGGCGAAAGAGAAGTAATGCGATCGCTCTCACACGGCGAAACACAGCGCAAGCGTTGTTTCGCGCCGGTTTTCTTAGAGGTCGTGGTATCACGCTGGTTGAACCATCCCATTTGTACACATATTTATCTTTTACCCTGTGTGATCATAGATGGATACATAAAGTGTCAATTTCATTACGTATCCATAATACTTTTAAAAATAGTTTTGTATCGAATTTTTAATCGTAAGTATTCGAATTGAATTTAATGGAAAATGTACTATTATGGATAAAAGTTTCTATAGTTCCATTGAAGAAACCGATGTATATGTACCTATTGAGTACCTACACATTTATAGTTTGCTTGCATTACTTTTGTATAGTGGTTTCAGCCGCAGTAGTACCAGGATACAAAGTATGTGCTATTTCAAGCTATCTATCTGGAGGATATAAATATAGCCTATTGCGGCGAGAAAGAAGGACAAATAACATAGTAACCCATTAAGTTATAATACGTACTATATTTAATTACGTACTCAAAAATTATAATAATTATTATTGTGAAACATTTCAAAACACCGCTCAAAATAAGGATGCACAAAAAATGTTAGCTCAATAATTATTTTGTAATAAAAAAGACGTGTGATATAATAAAAAGAAAAATATAATAATTAATTAATTGGTCATGTTCTTTTAGTAACACAAATAGACTGTAGAATATGACATGTATTCCGCATCAAAGAAACCGTATACCTACATAGTAGACTTAGATTGTATACTGACGTTTCAAGGCAAACAAGCCTTTACGATCTTTGTAAATAAGCAGATATTATATTAAAGTAATTATAACTCATACATCAATAGAATTCTTATATCTTATATGTATATACTACTTACTAAGTATACATATAATAAAATCGTAGAAAAGTCAAAACTGTACATTGATAATTTTTTAAAAGAATACTTAGGGCGTGATCTATTTATTTTTTGTATTTTTGTCTATATGTATGTCCGGGATGATCTCAGAAAGTACTGCATGGATTTACTTCAAATTTTGAATCAATATTACTAACAGGTCGGGTCAACATTTAGGCTACATATTACCACGCTAACATCTATGGGCGAGGAGCTCTATACTAGGTACTGAATCAATTCTGACGACATTCGTTATCACAGACTAATTCACAAGCCTAAATTCCGCCAGAATTCATTATTCTACGCGGACGAAGTCGCGGGCAATAGCTAGTTATATATTTGTATAAAGCTGATTAGTTTGTTTAACAATGCGTGCTAATCTCAGGAACTGCTGATACGATTTGAAAAATATTTTTTTTGTAGGATAGTCCATTTATCGAGAAAGACAAAAGCTTTAAAACACCATGCTACGATCAATTGGCACGGAACTAGCTAGTACATTATAAATAAAATTGATGTTATGATTTTTGCTTTCTTTTTATCCCAGCTTTGATTGGTTCTTATATGATAGTTGATCGAAATATTTTACATTTTTAAACTGGCTGCTGAAGTGAGAGATGCTAATAAAGTTAAAGTAATATTGTTATTGAGATGATAGTCATTTTTAAAACAATAGTAATTAAAATATTGTGAAGAGGATGGTTGACACTTCATATGATCAAAAGGCGGCATGTCGCGTTCCGCGCGCACCTCAAATAGCCATCAGACTACCACAGATGGGGCCCTATTGGCTGATGCCGATACGGAGCCGTGGAGAACTTAAAAGGTTACCGGGGCTCCGGCTCGAAGTGCAGGAGTAGGAACGGGGCGGTTTTTAGTCAGTAAGAGTCTGATACTCCCTTCCGGCTCACCCAGGCGGAAGAAGTCATTCGGTGATTTACACTTCTTAAAAAAAAAACGCGGCTATGCTGCCAGCCCTTTGGGCACTGATGAGGATGCCTAATGACAATGATAAGGATAATTTGTTTGCTGATATTTTTTTATTTTTTTTAATTAATTTTAGTGTAAATAGTTTTAGGTTATTTATATATTATTATTACATTAATATTTGAATGTAAAGGTTCGATTCTCATTGAGAATTGTTTTCTGTGTAATCCACACATTACTAACCTGGCCAGAGCCAAAAAACATCCATCTCTATGATGTCTATGTAAAAATGGTAGGTACTATTAACTCGTCGAGTACCGGTTTTGTAGACACAATTATAGAACAATAGGTTGCGGTCACCGGTGACCGCTTGGTGTTTGACAGTTTAAATCCTTTTTTATAGCCATTATATACATATATACAAATAGGAGAAATATTAAATAAATAGTAGTATATAACCATTTGCCTTTGCGGTTTTTGACGTCTTTGGTATTTGAACAAAACACGTATTTTCCTATTATTATCTCGAATAGGTATGTTGTCTGAAATTCTATGTCAAGTGGTATATATTATTACTTAGATACTATATTATTAATATATTGTTCTTTCTATGTTAAAATTATTTGCAAACACTAATTAAATGCCACCTTAAAATGTATTATTAATTTTATCGCATATAAACAAAAGTTTAATTAATATAATAAAACAAAATAATTTTTTTTATACACGACTCACTTAAAAATATTCTGGCCTTTTAAAATGACGGTTGAGATAATAAAATGCTGTATTTTAATTACCCTGTTAATGTGTAAGTAATTGTAATTCTTGACATCTAGGTAACCTCAAGGACTTTGGAATAGTTATTGTATAACAACGATAGACATTTTAAATTTACCGGCAATAATAAGGTCATTGAAATTCATAGAATTTTAAGTAATAAGTGATTCAAATTGAATTAAAATTTCTTATCACGGTTTCATTTCAAGAAATTAATGACAATTTTATATAAATTTGTTTCATTATTACTATCAATTAGAAACAGGTAATTATAATTACAAGTATAATAAAATACGCAATCACTTCAATAGCTATTTACACAAATGCTATGACAAATTAGTCGTGAATGTAATAGTCCATTATAGAATCGTAACGAATCTATTGTAGATAGTAGATTGCACTGAACAATTCAACGTATTGTTGTCACATAATGCCTGAGACCACCGTTAGACACTATCTTCTCAAAAACCGGAAAGCAAATGTTGTTATCGGTTTTGCAAACAGCTCACACCTGTCAAATGCGGTCCCCTTACCACGTGCTCCGGAAACGCACGAGCGCGCGCGAAGTTGAACGAACGCAGACACAAATAGTTTCAAACTTGTCAGCTATGCTGTACTTCGCACCGGTTAGCACCCTTTACACAACACGGTTTTTCTTTTTCAGCAACACGACGCTCACTGTATACGTTTGCATAAACATTAATCTCTTAAAACAATGCCTCATAAAAACATCACGAGATATACTACAAACGCCTTCAATTCTTCTTTTTCCCGTTATTTTCTTAAAAAAACTACCGAGAAAACTTACCCGGGCAACTATTGAATAAAATAACTTTATTAAAATTTTGTTCCGACATAAATAATTTCGTAGTTTATTGAGGAAGTCGTGATTTTTTGTTCCGTACCTGTTCCCCACCAATATCGCTTCCAGCCGTCTGTCACCGCGCGGAACATGGCGCTACGTGCGACGCCGTCTACGCGTGGCGGCCAACTGACTCACATACCAGCGAAACTCCGTTGAGAGTGTATAAAAACGTTCGAAATTCATAATCCGAAATCGATTCTTTATCACCACGATTTAGGAATTAATCAAACTTTATTCATTTAGATACAATTGAAAAGTTCTTTTTAAGGGGTTCGTTTGATGGAGAGGGTGTTTTATGCGAGTAACCGACAAAGGGCTCTCCGTCGCTCCCTGATTCAATTAATCTCTAATTAGAGACGAGAGTGCTCTTAATGTTGAGTAGAGACGGATTTGACATCGTAACCTGTCACTGAAGTAAATGGAAATCTGACAGCAGGATGGTTTTCAGCGACCCTATAACCGAATTGAGGTCAAATGTGTCAATGTAGCTATGGCAGGCTCACAGGTATATGACTTCATGGTAACGTTTTCTCGCGGGATCTTACACATTTAACTTACTTGGCTGATAGTTTTGTATAATTAAGATAGTTAAGTTATTCTTCAGTATTATATGTAATAAAATAATGTAAGTAAAAGTGTATTTGTCTAACAACTACTTATGATAAAATAAGTAATGAAATAAAATGCTTTATTTATTTATTTACACTTTTTGGACAATGAGTATACAATGGTGGACTCAATGCTTAGTGGCATTCTCTTTAAAATTACTGAAAATAAAAGCAGTATTATAAAATAATATGTAATGCCCTAATTTAAAATAGTAAAAATATCATTGATTATAAGAATAAAAATATAAAAATTAGAAGTTGAAGCCTTGAGCTTCTAATCTAATATATGTCGTTCAGTCCTCTTCCAAATGGTGCTTGAGCATTCGTTGTTAAGTAATAATTTCCTCGGGCACTGGAAAAAAAATCACTATTTAAGCAAGTATGGGAAAGCCATGTTTCGATACAAAGGGATCCGCTCGAACGGGTGATACCACAGCCTAACAGAAAACCGACGTGAAACAACGGTTGCGTTATTTCGCGTCGTTTAGGTGAGGTTACTGGAGGCCCAATTATCCCCAACCCCCTTCCCCAATCACCCCAATCCCTAAATCCCCCTACAACCTTCAAATTCCTAATTCCCAAAATGCCCGTAACTACAGTGAAACTTGGTTAAGTGGGACCTGGATAAGTGAGAAACCTCCATAACTGGAACTCATGCTGAGGTCCCAACACTTTGGCACTGATTTACCTCTGTTAGTGGGACGAGGTAAACCTCTATATCTGGGATTTGTTCTTTCGATTTATCATCATAGTTACCTCTATAACTGAGACATCGAGGAAATTTTATATGCATAAACCTCTGAAACTGAGATAACATTGTTTGTTTACTCATTCTTATTCTACCAACAAATTCCACACGTAATTCCAAGTCCACCTCTATTAATCGAACCCTCTGTAAATGAGACAGATATTTATTTATACCTGTATATCTGAGACACTGGGTAAGTGGAATACCTCTTTAAGTGAAACGACATTGCAGGTCCCTTGATGTCTCACTTAACCAGGTTTCACTGTACTTGTAACGCCTCTGGTGTTCCGGGTGTATATGGGCGACGCCGATTGCTCACCATCAGGTGATTCATCTCTTCGTTTATTGGCTTATCCCATAAAAAAAACAAAAACCATTCAAAATAGAAATAGAGTCTACCGAAACTACAACGGACTCATTGAAACTAAAACTATAAACTTTTAGATAAAAGTTTGACGTTTTTCGTAATGTCAAAACGAAAATATTCCTTCAGTTTTGTAGGAAGCTACACCACTACGATGTAAAGCTGTCTATTTTTTTTTTATACCTTTTATTTTTTTATTACTTAGATTGCATTCTAAAGTACCTAATTAGGTTTATCATCATTATTTTATGCTTAATTTGTCACTGTTATTATCACACTTATTCAATAAAAAAATATAATTATTAAACGATGTGTAAAAATGTATCGTACCTACTCAGATGGAGATTGGGTTCAGTAATTAATAAATGACTTCGGTTAGTTTTTAACATCCAACACCCAGTGTTGAAAATATAACACTCCTTGATAATAACGCCACGTTGTAAGAATGCTGGATATACACATATTGAAATAAAGGTACTATAGCAGATGCATTTGTTCATTCGCAACGCCAAAAAGCGCCCGAGCAAATGCGATGTGGATTAACTTTTAACTCACTTTTTATCACAGCCATATCCCATATACATCATTCCCAGAGCACGGTTTTGATTGAATTGATAGTTAACATAAGACGAAGCAGGAGAAGCAGGAAAAGCTTCAGGATTTCTCACTGATTCTGCGTAATACTGCCATGATCTCCAATGACTACATAGATCTAGAAAATAGAAAATATCCGTATTAATTATCGAATGTCGGCTTTATCTGCAAAGATAATGATAGTAGTGAAACGATAAGTTAGGTTTAATGCCAAAAATGATGATATGGTAATTAATGGTATATATACAAAACTGCCCGACACAGTAAGCATAAACACTTACTTGCATCGGAGAGTGGTATTAGAGCAAATATAGGACATCCAGGTTGTACGCGATGTCCACCGTTTGGCCAGAAGTCAGCCGTTCCAGTTGGTACCGGTGCACCATAACCACCGGCGTCAGTGTGTATAACATCCACAAACTCTGCATCTCCCGCGTTCACGTGTTGTAATAAATAGGTACTTGGATAGAATGACGGGTAAGCGGGATCAAGGACAGTTACTCTGAAAAAAATGTTGGTTGTGTTACTTTAGTCTGGTTAAGAGAAAAAAATTGTGGCACCACTATGCTCTGTCGGGCGGCACGCGGCGCAGTAGCGAACCGTCTAAGCAGCATAGCGGCATGGCAGCGTGGCGTGGTGTCAACTTAAACTTATAGAAAAGGTCTACCAATTAAACTGTCTGCAAAAAATGTACAGGTGTGAAGTACACTTTATTGGTAAGGTCCTATGTAAAATACCGACATGCCATATCTGTTAAAAGAGGCTAAATGTCAACCCTTAAAATAGTTGGGAAAGACCAGAGCTGAATAATATGTAAAACCTGCGTTTCAATAAACTGAGGTGGTACCTACCTTTTGACATATTTGTTGAATCTAGTCTTGAGTTCCCTTGCAGTGTACCCTGCCACTTGGGAGCCTAATGAAAAGCCAATGATGTGTAACTTTTCTAAAGGAAGTCCTAAGTCTATCAGTTTATTCAACTGTTCTGCTGCAGCAGGTCCAACCTAAAGGAGACAACATTAAACTCTTAAGTGACCTAATTTTGACCCAAAAAACCGAATATTAATTATTAAAATTTTATTCAAGTTTACCCTTTTGGCGTTCCATACAGCATTGAGGGCATAAGACCCTTGTGCCATTTCCGACCAGTCTAGTAATATGACGTTCGTACCCGGCCTTGCTTGCAAGTAGGCGTTTACGATAACCTGAAGATGGAAAAAGGAACAATCAAAATGAGCTCTTAAAACTATGTAACTAGATAATTGTATTGTAAACCCGATTAAAAAAGAGTAACCTATGGAGTGTCTTGCTCGTTCTTCTCCATAGGAATCTACACCTTGGAATGAGCAACTAGCTTCACTTCTAATTTTTTTGTTGTTGACGTTCAAAAGTGCCTTCCTGGTCTAATTGAAATAAATGATTTTGACTTTGACTTTATTATATTGAGTCGATCTATAACAATTCTATACATATAATAAAACTGTAGAAGTGGAAATTTTGTACATTGAAAACATTTAAAAGTTACTAGATAGATAGATACTGAACCCAAAACTGTGATCAATTTTTTTTTGCCTCTCTGTCTGTATGTTCACGCATCATGCAAAAACTACCGGTCCCATTACGATGAAACTGTATATCGTATGATTGTATTTTAATATCCTAGGCACAATACTGGATACTTTTTATCATTGGATTTAGGAATTGGGGAGATTGGGGAAGGGGAGGGTAATTGGGCCTCCGATAACCTTACTCACACGACGAAACACAACGCAAGCATTGCTTCACGTCGGTTTTCTGTAAGGCCGTGGTATCACTCCGGCCGAGCCAGCCCATTCGTGCCGAAGCATGGCTCTCACACACTAAAAAACCGTGTGCTTTTTTACCATCGTCGTCGTGATATGAAAAAAAAATAACTGGTACAATTCTTACCTTTATACTTTCCTGTTCAGGAAGTTCAACATATCCATGAATGTAGAAAACGGTGGGGTTGTTCTGGTTAAAACCCTGGACTTGGAGTAACTGCTGCGACTGACTGAGAGGAATGTCAACATGCTGTTCTGCTGTTTTTCTGTAAAATATAAAGATTGTAGAATCAAACTGATCTCATCACCAGTTTCACTTTCATCTCCTATTCTTGTGCAACCATTCATTTTTCAAGAGATATAAAAATATTCTTTGTATTTAACTAAATTTATAGAACTTGACAATAATATGTTATGTATATGACTACCAAGTTTTATTAAAATCGGTCAACTAGTTTCCATGATTCGGGTTTGTCTTCGTTTCTAATTTTGGGGTAAGTTTTCGGTTATTTTAAAAATCTTTGCCCCTCACTAGGATTTTCTCCTGTGAAGTGGGTGCATTTAAAAATATATAAGTTCCTAGCCCCGGAACAACAATCTGTGGATCACACAAAGAGTTTTTCCGTGTGGGAATCGAAACCGCACCACGTTGCACGGCAGCCAGTTGCCCAGCCACCGCGCCAACCGTGCAGTCAAGTTCGAAGTTTGTATAAAAACCGGCAGAGTATGAGCGCTCTTAATGCAGGTTGAAATGAATTTAAAGGTACAACTTTCACCCGTTACTTGCAAAAACCAGTTTTTACCAGAATTTGTATTCAATATAATACACATAATTATACCTAATTATCGAAATGTTACTTACCCATTATAAAATCTTAGTTTAACATCTTCTATTCGATTTGTTCCGATTTTTCCTGAAAGAAGGTAACGATTTTGTTTAATAGGTATTTTTAAAAAGCTTTAAAATTTTTTGAGGTATCATGTTAGAGTGGTTATAGTAACTCTATGGAAAAAATGATGAAGATATCCAAGAATAATAATAATGCGGGAAGCAGATGGATCAAGATGGATCAAGCATGCATTAAGCAGAAGGAATCGTGAGGAGGTTTCTGTCAATATAGCTCTAACCAAAACCGGCAGCGGGAGTCAAATTCCTGCTACGGGATGGCCGTTTTATTAAAATTCTTAGACATTTAAATCTTTGCTACCTAGTACGACAGATCCACCAAATACAGCAACTATTTCCGATACACAGCACGAAATTAAAAATAAATAAACTATTTCCCTGGGAAACATCGTCACTTGTACTTAGACTCTATTTTAAATAGCAAACTTGTATAAAATAAATATAATTCTAAAAGTAATTTTCGGACTGGTTTAGGACAAAATCGAGCCACAACTAAATGCAATTTTGATTTTCCTTTATGTATTTATGCATTATATATATAAGAGTAGATAGGTATAATAATATGAATCCAATTTTAGGAACCAATAATTGAGGAAAAGCGATATTGTTTATTCAAATAATTAGTGCATACAATCGTACCTAAATATACACATAATCTGGGATTTTCCCCCTGGAATAAAAGAGGGATATATAAAGGAAAATCGATACAAAATTTAATAAATGAAATACTTATTTAGTATTTTCACCCGTTGTTCATGAACTGGCCTGTCCTCAAGTCTATGTCTAGGTGTACCTACTAATATAAAGGCACAAATAGACTACGGCACTATGCAGTCAGTGTTTTATTATTATAACCTTATGTTAAACTTATGAGATCAACTTTAAATTAGGCATATGTATAATATTTATCCTTCTCTTATACATACCTAATAACATAAATAATTATTTAAAAATAAAACATACATAATGTGTATTATAGTGTCCAAAGGTACCTAACAACATAGATTCATTTATTGTTTACCATTATTATTTAAGTTTTTTTTTCTTATAATGAACTAATTACTATAATTATATACATAATAGTTTATTTATAGTTTATTGTGCTCGTGTGTAGGTATATATATTATAATGATGTTTCTTTATGTTTATCACTAAATATGTAAGTGTATCTATTTTAATTACTCAATTAATTCGTTGCTTGCTTCTTGCTCACACCATTAACTCTTCTCTGCATCACCCAAAGGTCAGACTGGGAGAAAAAGTCCACCTTATGTACATTTTGTGCATGAAGCTTAAATAAATAAATAAAAAATAGTTTCTTTTCAATGTAAACGAAATACTTTAACGAGCTCTAACTTGTTCTTTCTAGAAACACTTTCCAGTACCTCTACTTTCTTACGACTTATTCCAACTTTTATTCACATGAAAGCGACGGGCAATATGTATGTAAATATAAATACAATATATATATATATTTTTTACGTAAACGTAGTTTTAAAACAATTTTCAAAACTTCAACCTTTCCAAAAATAAATAGAATCTTGCTACCTGCAAGATCAAATCAGGAGTTGTCAAAGTAATTGTCATCATCAGCGACACAGATTACTTACCTTACACTATCGTACATTTTTACCCTAGGCTACAAATACTTAGGAGTAATTTCTTTATACAAAACACTTCTACCTATATCTATCATTTCAACGCACAATAACTCTTTATGGAGCCAAAAAAACATTTTGTATCACTATGTATTCTTTTACATTTTATATTAAAATAAAATGCAATATATAGCCTCGTAACTAAAACGTTATGTGCCCAAAAAGTTATGAACATCAATAAATTTTTTTCGTGTTCAAGTCACGAAACATTTAAGGCAAATAATCCTATTATAATTTGTAATTAACATAACAAATAAGTAATTTGTCATCTTCTATTTTATTCATAAAAATGGAAGCTGACATAAATGGTAATATAATATTGTTTTACTTACTAGCTGACACGGTAAACATCGTACCGCCTATATTTTTTTCTCATCTTTTAATCCTTCCTGTACTTACAAGAACATTTCAAAAATTAGCTAAATCGGTTCAGTCGTTCTCGAGTTTTAGCGAGACTAACGAACTGGAATTAATTTTTATTTATACATACATAACATCACGCATTTTAGCCCCGAAGGGGTAGGCAGAGGTGCACATTTCGACACTTAATGCCACTGTACAATGTAACACCCAATTGCGACTGCCGGGCAAGGGGTCTCGGGTTCGATTCCCGGGCCTTGCAAAGTACTACTGGGTTTTTAAAAAATCTCAGTAGTAGCACGGAATCTGGAAATGTGCCCGGTATATGGCAATAGGCTCACCCCCTGTTACATGGGACTTATAACATAAATAGTGAAAAGTGGGTGTTACATTTTTATTTATATAGATTTATTATTGCTACTACAAAGAGATTTTAGTTAATAAATATTCTATAGCGTCTCCCTTTTTTACGAATATCATCCAATGACTTCAACCACTTGGAAGAGGTGAGTTCCAGTCTCAGGTTTTTACTATCGAAAAAAATCATTCTGTTGTTACTCCTGGTGCGAACCGTTAAGTAGTCCACAGCTCCAGGAATAGCGTCTGCCAGCCTCCATCATCTGTTTATTAAGGTAACATAAAACATAAAATAGGAAACAAAATACGAATTTCATTAAAATCGATTTACATGAATATGGACTTCAAAAGTTTATAAATTTAAAAACTACGGTGAGTAAACGCTCTGGACGAAAATTGGTGTGGTTAAGAAACATCAAAACCGATTTATCGTCCAACAAAATAATACTTATTTTACAACACGCCAATCAACACGCCAATCAAATCAAAACATCATGAATATTACATTGAAAGTACCAAAATATACGAACATCATACCAATACACAAATAGAAATAGATTCTTGGTTCAGAATTTATGATAAGTTTCTTTCTGAACGTTTCTGGCTATGGCTATCTTTAATACATTGGTCAATTGTCTGGCGTTTTGTAGAATATCTCGTAGTCTGGCGTATCCGTGTCATACGGCTGCACATCGAACTATACAAAACTACTTTATCGTGGGCTCGTTTTGTATGATCTTTCCGAACATTCGCCGGTCAACTTATACTGGTAATTTATAGCCGTGTACCAATACCAAGCATGGAGAGATTGCATCCAGCCGTCGTATTCAGGCCATGACGCTTGTACAATCTTTATTGTTTGTTTGAAGAACTGGATTATTTAGCTGGCTTGAAGAAGAAAGATTATAATTTTTGTTTGTTTGTTTTAATTGAATAGGCTTAGAAATTACCAGATCGATATGAAAAAATATTTTACCGTTGGGATCCTACACTACCCATGACGAACATAGGCTATATTTAATAAGAGAAAAAAGGGAACCGTGTGATTTGATAATGTAACCCGATTTGTGAAAAACCTATCAAAAAAACTTCTTATATTGCTTAAGCTTTTGACTGCCAATACAAATTTAATTCGTTTTCAAAGACTTATTTAGCTGCATCAGAATCAGGGAATCATTTAAACAAAAAAAAAGAATTCTATTAACTTCTTCATGGACTAGCTTCTGCCCATGGTTTCGCTGGCGCTCTTTTAAAGTATTTAGTTCAGGTTTACAAAAGATAAAAAAAATTGGTGCTCGATGTTTTACTAGTCACAAAATGATACCAATTTTAGGTTTCTTGAGCTTTGCTTTGACGGGATCTGTGCCCCAGCAACTCGTTAGGCCATCCGTAGCACCGGGATTGTAGTAATATTGTGACCACTCTACCGACGAGGAAATCTAAATTCATATAATACTTGAAATTGTCTAGACGCTTCAATCAAAGATTCTTTTTTGAGTCAGTTTCAGGTTAACATTTATGAAATACTGACTATTTTCTTGTAATTAAAATATCTTCAATTCAGTATCTTAGGCTCGATAATCCAATTACGTCAATTTAATATCTCAATCAAAGCTTCATTTTGTTCGAATAATCGTTTTAAGAGAACAATTTTCATCGAAATTAATAAGTGCTGAGGTATTTTTAGGAGATTATAAGTAAACTGGACTGCAAAATTCATCTGCTTGATGATCGCCTGTTGTGTGACGTATTTCTAAATTTTTCTTTGTGTGATTCACAACATAAATACGTTATAATCAAGTCTAGGTGGGACATATGAGAAACTGAAACCCATTTAAAAAAAACTTAATACCACAACTTTAATTCCTCATAGTCCACAAATTGAATCTGACACCTATTATCACCATTTTTTCGACACCTATGTGATCATAGATATAGTAAAGAAATCTTTTAATATTTCTGTGTATGTGATACTATTAGTGGACAAGCAATACATCAAATAATATTCCCAACTTACTTAATAGTGCTATAATATTCGTAAAACCTAAAACAATCCAATTATCAATCAACTAGAAATTGTGTCTGAGATTATTTCTTTATGGGACAAGCCCGCCATAACCTCCCAAAATCTGTAACTCCTTAACTCGTCGAGTACCGGTTTTGCAGACACAATTATAGAACAATAGGTTGCGGTCACCGGTGACCGCTTGGTGTTTGACAGTTTAATCTGAGACTGAAACCCAAAATACGTAGCACTTCTCAAAACATGAGGCGATAAAATAGTTTAGAAAGTTTTAATGGAAACGACGCTATCCTGAATTCACAAATTGCATACCTTATAGTCTACAACATGTTATGCGTGTATGTAAAAGTGGTTGGACATCCTCAATGGCCGAGTGTGACTGCCGGGCAAGGGGTCTCGGGTTCGATTCCCGGGTCGGGCAATGTATAACCGGAGTAAAAAAAAAATCTCAGAAGTAACACGGAGTCTTCAATTGTACCCGGTATATGGCAATAGGCTCACACCCTATTACATGGGATTCATAACATAAATAGTGAAATCTGGGTGTTACATTGTAAAGTGGCATTAAGCGCCGTAATGTAAAGGTGCACCTCTGCCGACCCCTTCAGGAATAAAAGGCGTGATGTTATGGTATGTTATTAAAGTGATATTTGTATGTATAGCTGACTGCGTAGTTACTCATAGAATCGATGATAAAATTGCTCAGCTGCCAGTGCCATCGTAATAGCTACTGCCTCGAATAAGGTCAGGAGGTGACAACGGTGTCAATTCCTATATACGTTTTTTTCTTCTTTTCCTATAGATTGAACAAACAAACTTGTGTAGACTGCATGGTATGAGACTTCTCGGGATGATTATAATTGAATACTGCATTCTTAACTAGTATTCTTTTTTTTAATAAAAAAATCTTTCATTATCATCATCATTCACATTAGTTCTTTTCCGTTCACTGCTGGTCTCAGCCTTTTAGGATAGAAAATATGATTTCTATTAGAAACTTTGACTAAGAGTGGGAGAGCTCTGCTTCGGTACGATTAGCCTTTATTTGAGGGGGGAAAATCATCCAATGACTTCTCCCGCCTTGTCAGACTCTTACTGACTAAAAACAAATCCGTTCCTATTGAAGAGCAGGCTCTTCGAGGGTGAGCCCCGGCAACCCGTTAGGCCTTCCGCGGCTCCGTATTGGGCATCAGCCCTCTATCTATGGTGGTCTAATGGCTCGCGCGGAACGCGACGCGCCGTATGCACGGGTCTGGTTTTGGTCGGGTGGCGAGCTATCCTTGCTCACAGTCCGCAGACCCGCACGTACGGTGGCCGGAGATCTTCACGTGATGTCCGACGCCCGGAGTATCTCCCGCGAGAACTAAAACTACTACTATTGTTATATAGTAGTAGTTTCAAAGGCGCCTTATTAAAAAATGATATATTTAGCGTCAGTGCTACTGATTGCTATTATAAAATGATCAGGCAAGGTTTGTTGTTGCTTTAAATTTCCGAAGCTAGATAGCACCTTCAATTTAACAGACAGATTGCAATTGATTATTAAAAATCGAAATTATAACTATTTTTGATTTTTATTAATCCAACATGACATGACATCACGTCTTTTATGCCAAAGAGGTAGGCAGAGGTGCACATTTCAGTACTTAATGTCACTGTACAATGTAACACTCACTTTCACTATTTATGTTATGAATCCTATATAATAGGGGATGAGTTTATTTATTAATTTAGCTTTACCTATCTTTGGGTAAGCCCAACATTTGAATTTGAAATTTTCCCGATTTTTAACACAAAATTCGCTCTATATAAAGACTTGGTGTGTTTCCTAGTTTCAAGATCATAGTACCAAATAATCGTCAATCTGAATACAGAAAAGCAAATGGTGTCGAAAAATTAGGTAGGTATCATAATTTAAATAATTGACTCGTGCTAATTTTGAAAGATAATGTATCTGCTATCTAATGCATAAAACTGATGATGTGATGACTATATACTGAGCCTCAAGTCTGTTAATTTTATGATTGTAGTAATTCCTAGCCGATAGCATTGTAATTTGGCAAAAAGTTCCTAATCTGCTAAATTCATAATAGTCGATCATTGATTGGTCAATGGTCTAGTAATGGAATTGTAGTAGAATGACAAAGAAAAATAGGAGAGTGACAAAAAAAAAACAAGAAAAACTAACCTAACGCATCAAATAGCATAGTTAGCTTCAAGTTTCAGAAAGTAATACTTTTTTAACACATCACACATACCTACATATTTCGATGATATAATTTCTTTTGAATTTATGAAATAATTTGTTGTGATGTCTTACTTTGATATAAAAATATATATAATTTTTTAAATTAAATAAATTTTGACAATGCAAGCATTGTGCCACCTGGGTTTTCTGTGCGGCCGTAGTGTTACTCCGGCCGAGCTAGCCTATTCATGCCAAAGCATGCCTTTTCAACGTAGTCAATTTGAATGATGATAATGGTCTTTAAGGAATAGTATTTAAATTAACGGTAGGGACAAATAGTGTTACACGAAAACTAGTTAAGTACTCATTAAGATTCACAAGGTTAAATTTGACAAATTGACAAATTAATGTTTCGCCTCTTTTATACATGCCTGTAAATCCGCCATTAATGTCCATCAATTTGTACTTCAAACGTTTTTAAATAAATTATTCGATTTTTTCAGTTGCTAGGTACTTCGATGTCTATGATCAGTATTTAGAGATCCCTATCTATAGGTGCGTGTAGATATTTTACATGATGATAATATATATATTCTAGTTGTAGAATAAAAAAATAATCTAGCAGAATGCTATTAACAGTATGAATACAAAAATATATATATTATGTCTATAATTAGAGTATCATCATCTATCGGGAATTTTCTGTACTCACACGTTTCAGTATGGCTTGGAGACTTTCACCCTCCGCTCACTTTCACAGTTCAAGACATAGATGGCAGTACTAGTAATAAATTAAAAAATGGTGCCCTTATGCATATAAATCAATATTAACTCGTCGAGTACCGGTTTTGTAGACACAATTATAGAACAATAGGTTGCGGTCACCGGTGACCGCTTGGTGTTTGACAGTTTAATATTCTTTAAACTGCTAGAACAGCTGGTTAACTGTACTAAGTAACTCTTAACTAAGTAAGTCTTATCCTATTTTTCTTAAGTTAATTTTAGTTGTGAATAATTTAGTTTTTATTTTTTTTTAGTCCTAGTTATTTATTATTTAGTTTATATCTAAATATAGATTAGTTATAACTGAGTTTGTATGTTGAAAGTTGAAAGAAACTATTAATAAATTTGAGTTATAGGTACCAGAAAAATAGAATTGCTGTAATTTTGTTTATTTTACATGAAAATTTTGGGCGTGATCTTTTAAAAAATCCATTGATTACTGCATGCAATTTATCCATTCATGAATAGAGAAGTGAAATAATCAAGCTGCTATTTATGTACTCTTTAGGGCACTTCATAGCAAAATAATTGCCATCGAACATTTAATACTTCTGTACAATAAATCAAACCTCATGTTCCAGTCAAGACATGTCATTATTGATGTAATTTACATCTCATTAACGAGCTACTGATGTGGAATTGAAGAAAAAACCAAGGACTTCGTAAAAAGCCCTTACAAGAATAAAAAATATTATAATGCCCTTTTATGGTTCAATAATCATGTAAGATTAAAACATCAGTTACTATAAATTGTTTTGCAACGCAATGTATCAGTTTAGTACTGCAAATGATAAAGTGCGGAGTTGACAATATATCATATAATATACTATTTTCAAATTGTTTTTACGATTAAATGCATAGATAAGTGTATTTTTTCTTTGTGACAGTTCAACTTGGTCATTGTGAAAAAAAATATTGATGCTAATGAATGGCTTGCTATTCCCTGGGCCAGTTATAACAATCTGTCTTATATCTGTATCAATACTTTGTTTTTTGAAAATACATTATACTATTCTATTCATTAGATTTTCTACAACTTTTCATTAGTATTACATTTGAACTGGGCGACACTCAATGTGTGTCAGTCTCATATATTATACAACTATTGTATAATAATTAATTGTTGTATTTTGGACAAAATAATTCAAAATGTCAAAGGTCAATTGTTCTAATGTGGCTTCGTTTTATTCTGGAAAATCTGTGTTTATAACTGGTGGTACTGGATTTGTTGGTAAGGTAAGAAAATTTAAAAAGCTATACTTGAAACATTGTCTTATATACAACCTTAATATATAAAATATTTATTTATATAAAGGAACATATTTACCTAAAACACACAATTTTATACAAGACAATAAGTTTTTAATTAATTAATATATTCAAGTGTTTTCAATTACCAAATTGTAAAAAAAGATGATGTCAAAAAGACGCGGGAACATTAATAGTGTTCCCGATATTCTTGCCAATAATATAATTCATCGGAAGTGAATATCGATACGACGATACATCAAAGTCAAAGTCAAAGTCTAAGTGTAGAAATATACGGTGATTTTAAAAGTTGAAAAAGTTGTTATCGTTTTAATATAGGTACACACTGTTTCCACCTCATTGAATAATCGTAAGAATGATTTTTAAAAGCAATTGCATAAAAAAGACATTAGCAAATATATTGCGACTCAAGAGATCATCAGTGTCATAATAATAAGTAACATCACGGACTTAAAAGCACGTAGTTTCATTCTAAATAGTATTCAAAGCAGCCTGTTTAATAATTTCAGACTTTAATAGAAAAGTTGCTGTACAGCTGCAGCGGGATTGACAAAATTTATGTCCTAGTACGTGATAAGTATGGGAAACAAGCCAGTGAACGACTCGCTCGTATTACCAGCACGCCAGTAAGTATAGGTTTTGAATATGAATTTAAAACTATAAAGAACATTTAGTTTGGGACAGTTATTATGAGTTTCAACCCTCTTGTAATTTGATTCTAACTAGCTCTGGACTTGACTGTACTCGCTTTTTTTTGACTTTGTACGAAAGTTTTTGGTAAATATTTTTAGTATTTAGTATTAGTAGGTTTTTATGAGATAAGCCGGTCAAAGAGCAGATGAATAGTAAGCAATCGGCGTCGCATTCGGCGGCGAATTCAGGGATTGGGGAGATTGGGGAAGGGGCTGGTTTAATTGGCCTCCGGTAACCTCACACACACGACGAAACACAACGCAAGCGTTGTTTCACGACGGTTTTCTGTGAAGCTGCATATTATCACTCCGGTCAGCCGGTCCATTCGTGACAAAGGATAGCTCTCACACAAAATGCTTTTAAATGATAAATACTTAGAAATTGAACTAGCATCTATAATAGGGAGTGGTAATTTATAACAAATGGCTTGTGATTAATTTTATTATGGGGTAGGTTAGGCCATCTGAAATATTTACAGAATCAAATAATTTTGTAAAGGCAGTTGAGTAATTTAATTACTTTACAGGTGCAATTTTCACTTTAACATCAATTTAATTACTGAACTCAAATACCCAACAAAAAAGTACTGAAACGTACAATATCATATTGAATATACTACCTACTACTATTCTTGTAGTTTAATTTTTTATTCAGTATTTCATTAGTTTAAAAGTATTTTTTTATGGGCAACAAAAGTTATACATATTAAAACATCCGAGTTTAATGTTTCAGGCTTTTGATAGAATAAAAACAAGTCGAAATGAGGACTTAAAAAAGATCGTAGTCATCAGCGGCGACATTACGCGTGAAAATCTTGGATTACACGAAAATGTTTTAAAGACATTGGAGAATGAGGTAAATAAACATTTAATATTTTTAATGTAATAACTACGAAACGAACATTTTGTTTCTTATGTCTAACTTTATTTTAAACTGTCAAACACCAAGCGGTCACCGGTGACCGCAACCTATTGTTCTATAATTGTGTCTATAATGACGGTACTCGACGAGTTTAATGCTTAATTATACTAATTTTATCAAACGGACGTGAAATATATATATGTGTGGCGACACAATATGTCACATGTCAATGTATGACGTCATAAAATTCTACATCACACATGCAAATTAACACGGATATAAAATCCCAACGAACAACTGTTGGGCAGAAAGCCCGCCAGGCATGATCACCTCGCCTGGTCGGAGGATCCTCCTTTTCCGATCTTAAGGAACTATACTCTCGGTTCCCTAAATATGTATATTAAAAAAAAACGACCTACAACACGTTTTTATTTCGTTTTACTTTAACCAGATTATAAGGTTTTTTATTTCGTTTTTATAATGTTTTTATTAATTTTGTTTTACCATGCAAAGTCAAATTACAGAACTAGAACTAACTTTAACAATTTATTAATTGAACAAAAGATAAACACTTAACTATTTCAAAATTATAGGTTAGGTAGCTTGACTTTCCAAACGAACAGAGGTTTTCCTTAGACAAGTTGACTGGTCCGCAAAATTGTCCCGAATGAGGCGCCCACGGTCTTATATTGGCTACTACCACTTGTCATCTCTTCATAATTACGTTTCTTCACTAATGCTCCAACACTAACTTATTTTAATATCGAATTTAACTCTAATTGTTACTTTTGTACGATAGTGATTTACAAACAAAAGGGTTCGATTCCCTGGATAATTTATAATACTACTTGCATTCTTATATCTATGGAGAGTGCGTTACAAAAGGATATACCTACATATATAAGTCTACTCGTATTTATTTCTGTATTTTTTCAGGTGTCAATTGTATTCCATTTGGCAGCAACAGTTGCTTTCAGATTACCACTAAAAGATGCAATGAGAATCAATGTAAATGGAACGGAAAACGTCATTGAATTGTGTCGTCGCATGAAAAAGTTACAGGTGAAATTGTTTTATTTTCTGTTTATTCGACAAACAAACTGGATATCAGTATTTTTAGCACAACCGTGTATGACGGTAGTGTTTTTTAACCTGCATTTAAGTTTTACATAACATAGCACAACATGCATATTTATGCATAACTTAGCATGGAACAGCATAGCATAGCTTAGCATGGCATAGCATGACTTAGCATGGCATAGCGTAGCAAAGCATAGCTTAGCATGGCATAGCATAGCATAACTTAGCATAGCTCAGCATAGCTTAGCATAGCATAGCTTAGCATGGCATAGCTTAGCATGGCATAGCATAGCATAACTTAGCATAGCATAGCTTAGCATGGCATAGCTTAGCATGGCATAGCATAGCATAACGTAGCATAGCATAGCGTAACATAGCATATCTTACTACAGCTTAGCATGGCATAGAAGGGCATAGCATAGCATAACTTAGCATATCATTGTATAACTTAGCATAGAATAGCATAGCATGACATAGCGTAGCATAACTTAGCATAGCATAGCGTAGAATGAAATAGCGTAGCATAGCATAGCACGGCACGGCACGGCATGGCACAGCACAGGATGGCATGGCATGTAATAGCATAGCATGGCAAGGCATGGAATAGCACGACATGACATGGCATGGCAATGCATGGTATGGTATGGGTTGCACATTACGGCACTTAATGCCACTGGACAATGTAATACTCACTTTTCACTATTTATGAGAATGTGTAATAAGGGGTGAGCAACGCCATAGTTGTACCCTACCCGGGAACCGTACCCGATATGCTTAGTAGTCACAATTTCGACCACTTGGCAGGGTACTTAACCTAATCCTTAACAATTGTTTTTGGAACAAAATCGTTGCTAAGAAATAAGTAAATAATCATTTAACGCTTCTGAGTAAAGCAGTAAGAATGAGGTCTCACCATCATTTTTACCGGCTTCAAAAAAAGGAGGAGGTACTATGTTCGGCTGATACTAATCAAAGGCCGTTTATTTTTGTGTTTGTGCCTTTGAAAGATTTTATAGATCATCTGATGGATGGACTGGACATACAAATGTTTTAACTTTGAAAAAAACATTCCTGATGAGCGATGCGTTGTTGATGAGTCTTTGTTATTTGTGTACGTTGTCGTCATGTATACCTATTGACATTATGATGCGTCCACACCTGTCAAATGTGATAGTCGCGTGCAACCCGAAAACAACGTCGATTCAAACACCGTTCACGAGCGAACAGCGCATTTAATATTGTCGAATGTGGACGCACATTTATAATCACTGCATCAACAAACATTTCTGCATACTCAGAATATTTTATACATAGTTACGTACCTGTACCTAGCTGTCTTTTATATCCATCTTATAACCGAAACAAGAAATGGAATATGTTTTTGTTTTATGGGATAAGCCGATAAACGAGCAGACATCACGGATCACCTGATGGTAAGCAATCGGCGCCGTCCATGGACACCTGAAACATCAGAGGCGTTTTGGGAACTAGGGAGGGGTGAGCGTAATTAGGCCTCCGGTAACCTCGCTCACACGACGAAACACAACGCAAGCATTGTTTCATGTCGGTTTACTGTGAGGCCGTGATATCACTACGGTCGAGCCGGCCCATGCGTACCGAAACATGGCTCTCCTACACTTAAATCCATCTTCTTTTATGTCCATCTTATAATTGAAACTAAAAATGCAATATGATTACTGTTAACCACATCAATTTTGTTCCTCAGGCCTTTGTTCACGTTTCGACAGCATTCACGAACTCAGATCGAAAGGAAATAAACGAAGTGGTGTATCCAATGCCAATTAATTTGGAAGAAGCGAGACATGTTGCCGATAGGTACTCACATGACGACGTGATCGTTTGTGCGTTTATGGGTAAGTTACTATTGGAATTTCTAATTGGAATTTCAACTGAATTTCTGATTCGTATTCTAACGGTATTCCATTCTTGACAGAATATATTTGTATGATTGATTTACACAGTTTTGATTGTAAAAAAATCTACTTACTGTGGCTTTCGTTTTACTTATAGTATGCCTAATCAAGGCAATATTTGTTTTGATAATAAATGTTAACGTTCTTCCATTAATCTTTCTTTCTTATCTTCCATTAATGTGAAATTAATATTTCTAAATTAATTCATCAGTTTACGCTCTAAGCGATACCGATTTAAAATATTGCTTAAGAAAATAAATGCCTATCTGTCACTACTGAATAAAAATCTATTATATTATATTAAAATTAATTCCAGGAAGGAAGCCCAATACGTACACTTTCTCAAAAGCTTTTGCCGAACAACAAGTTCTGAAGCAGTGTGAAGACCTACCGGCTGCCATCGTCAGACCGTCTATAGGTAGGTACAGAGGCCGTAGTACTTTGTTTAATGTATAATGTAATCAAAATGAGTACGCATCTGTGCTCTGATTGGCCGGCTCCATTTAATCATCTAATCAGAGCGCTAAACGTGGTCTCGTTTTGCGTACTTTAAACGTTAAACGAATTCGTACTAAGCCCTATTTCTAGATAGAAATATAACATTTTCTCAGAAACACTTGATATTATTTTGAGAGTAATAGCATCTCCATAACAATATTATTATTACGGAAGTATAAAATAAAACATTTCTTAGAATTTTTAAAGCAGAATTTAATAGGTACGGGGTGTAACATGCGCTTGTATTTCATTCAGACAAGCTCAGGTGTTTAGTGCACTGGTTTAGCTGCCATATTTGTTATGAAAGTTGGTGTAACCAACCAACAATTTTGTAATACGGAAACTACATAGTTTTAAACTAATTGAGACTATTTATGTCCCGCGTCAATAAATAAAGTAAAGCTACATAAGCTGGGTAAGCGTTTGACAGGATATTAACTCGTCGAGTACCGGTTTTATAGACACAATTATAGAACAATAGGTTGCGGTCACTGGTGACCGCTTGGTGTTTGACAGTTTAATGCACCAGTATGGTAGTCGCAGTTAACTTTTCAATAATATGGGTAATTATTTTTATAACTAACAAAAGTGTGGGAGAGCCATGCTGCGGCACAAATGGGCCGGCTCGACCGGAGTGATACCACAGCCTCACAGAAAACCGACGAGAAACAACTTGCGTTGTGTTTACCTTACAACATTGATGCGTAATTAATGCAATTTTTTTAAGAAATACATTCAAATTGTCATTTTTATTTCCAGTAATGTCTTCCATCAAGGAACCTTGCCCTGGTTGGATAGACACGTGGAACGGCGCCACAGGGTTATTCGTCGGTATGCCAGCTGGTGTGTTACGAGTTGTACTGGGTAGAGGGAGCAATGTCACAGATTTAGTACCTGTTGATATTGTCACAAACCTCATTGTCGTAGCCGCTACAGAGTGTCAGAAGTAAGTTAAGTATAATAGATTCATTGTTATATTTTTATCAAATTTTTTTTATTATTTAAATATTGGTAATTTTAACTCTTTGAGTACCGTCATTATAGACACAATCAAATCACAATAGGTTGCGGTCACCGGTGTCCTCGCAATGTTTAACAGTGTAAGGAGTAATTAGTGTTTATTTATTTTATCTCAATAATAATTTATTTATTTAAGAGCATCCTACGTAACGTTGCAACCACAGATAATAAAATCATAGGCAAGGTTGTGTTTATTTTTAAAACCCGCGTTACATCTATATTCATATTATAAAGAGGAAAGATTTGTACCTATTTTTGTATGTTTGTAATGAATAGGCTCAAAAAGTACTGGGCCGATTTAAACAATTCTTTGACCAATAGAATGCTACATTCTTCCAATTTGACATAGGTTATATTTCATTTTGAAAAAAAATAGAGATCCTTGGTAAAATTTGAACAATGTAACCGAAGGAGTAGAAAATTGAGTCTTAAAATGTCTTTCGTCGAATGCGCTGCCGAAACTATTAGCGATCGAACAAAATAATGTTCAAAAATATAGAAGAACATTATAATGTCTACAAAAAACTCCGCGGTAGCATATGCCCATCTATTGTAGTTATGTCACTACAACAATCCAAATTTCCAAAAATAAATAATTGTCTGCCCCGTGCGAAGCCGGGACGGGCTGCTAGTTTATTAATTTATTGATTAATATTAATTAAAATAATATGGTTGGCTGGTAGAGAATGCCATTCGGCATTAAGTTCGCCATTGTATACAGTGTGAAGTGTTAAGTAATAAAATAATAATAATAATTAATGTCAAATGTTATTTTATAATTTTCACTTATCAAACTTTATCTAACAGGTGAAGTACTGTAATATACAATAAGCAAAAACGTTTATTTAATGTTAAGTTTCAGACTTAAACACTGAAATGCTCAAACGCCACTAGATTTTATGTCGTATTAAGCATATTTCTGTCTCTACAAATTCTTGGCAAAATGACAGAGACAGCACGATATTTAAGTACAACTTAAAGTTGAGTAGCCTGTCAGTATTCGGGCGTAACAGTTTCCAAGAAACAAAGGTTTGAAATAAAAAGAACAGTTACTAATCATATTAATTCTTTATTCCTTGAATTTCTAAAAATTGTTAATGAAAAGAAAAAAAAAATGAAATAAAGATAATGAAAACTCGACGCGAACATGATTATAAAAGAAGATACATTTTCCCTAAAAAAAAATTAGAAGCATTTGTTGAATTTTTCAAATTAATTGCTCTATTTTTTTCTGTATTCCTTATTTTAATTGTAATTAGAAACACGTTAGTTTTTATTTAGTTTACATTTATATAATATACTAGCAGACCCAACAGACGTTGTCCTGCATATCCACTTGAATGTATAAACAAAAATTCATTCAAATTAGTTCAGCTGTTTAGGATAATTAACCTAAACATCGACTGCAGCGCCATCTGCCGGGCTGATTTGCGAATCTAAACCATTCCCAGATCCCCTTGAACACACACAAAAAATTTCATCAAAACCGGTCCAGTCGTTTGAGAGAAGTTCAGTGACATACACGCTCACAGAAGAATTATATATATAAAGATTTGTTTTGTTTTACGAAGAGATTACAACTAATGGATGAGTGTATTTTCAGGTCAAAAGAAATTAAAGTATACAACTGCTGTACTGGACCATCGAACCCTATCACTTGTGGTGAAGCGAGCACCATTAGCAGAAAAGTGGCTCTTAAATACTCTTTAAGTAAGTTTGTATTTACGTCTTAGTCATCAACAGCGTATAAATGCCCACTGCTGAGCAAAGCCTCATCTCACACTGAGAAGGTTTGAGCATGAATCATCACGTTTGCTCAAAGCGGGTTGGTGATTACAAACTTATAGTTAGAAATTATAAGCCCCAGGTTTCCTCACGACATTTTCCTTCACCGTTTGTCATTGGTGTTATACATTTAACTCGGAAAAAGTAACATTGGTACTTGCCGTTGGTAGGTTTCGAACCGGCACTCTCATGCATGAGAAGCGGGCGTCTTAAATCTAGAGGGAGACTCTTCTTTATATTTTATACCTGATTCGGTAGAATATATATAGAAGATAACTTGTTCGGATTATTTATTGTATCTATCCATTTAATTTCTTGTGTTAATTTATTATAATTATGAAGTGATCTCAGGTTCTATTACTGGTTAACCCACAGTCAAATGTATGATATACTCAAGTACCATTTAAACAGGATTCACGACGATTCGATTATGCAAAATCTACTTTTGTTCAGTTACGTTCGGAGTCCCGTCGCCTATTATACATGTGTCACAATTTAAAACTTTGTGTTATTATTGAAAAAATATCCAACATCTGAAAAACACATAATTGTACCTTATCCGACCCAGGAATCAGACCAGAGACCCTTTGCTAGGTAGTCAAAATTGTGCTCGAGGTAAATAGTAAAATATCGTATTTACAAAAAAAAAAATCTTTCATAATGTGTTCGATAATTGTAAATTTTCTCAGAAAATATATTTTTTTCTTTTTTTTTTATAAATCGTTGCCCCACGCTAGGATTTTCTCTTGTGTTGTGGGTGCGTTTACAAACATTCAAGTTCACATACACATGACACCCATCCAATTATTGTTGTAATCATATTTTCAGACGAGCTGCCTTGGCCCTTTCTCAAGTTCACACCAAGCGTGTTTCTATACACTTTAATAACGTTCCTTCTACAAATTGTACCGGCATACCTGATTGATTTATGGTGTATATTAACTGGAAAGAAAGCTACGTAAGTGAACCTTTTCTTCTTAAATCTTTGTTACGAAATATGTGGAATTCTTTTTCTTGTTTTTCCTTTCGTATTATTGAAGCTCAAGTTTCTATCTAGACAGCCTTCAAATTTTTATTACGTAAGTTGTATGAAATTAGTAACGTAACATAATATCGCTGCTTTTATCCCCGAAGGGGTAGGCAGAGGTGTGCGTTACGCCACTTTACAATGTAACACCCACTTTTAACTATTTATGTTCTGAGTCCCATGTAATAGGGGATGAGCCTATTGCCATATACCGGGTACAATTCCAAACGCTGTGCTACTACTGAGAACTTTTTAAAAACCCCAGCAATACTTTGCCCGACCCGGGAATTGAACCCGAGATCCCTTGCCCGACAGTCGCACTGCGTTGTTGGCCGAGTCACAGAGTTGAAATTAATAAATATAAATTAGGGGTCGTACACAAAACTGTGATGCGATGCGGATTCGCAACGCATCGCAAAAACAAGTATGTACTTCTGTTACTGTTTAGGAAAAGAAACAAAGAAGATTTTGATGCGCGATGCAAATCAATTTGAAAGTTCTTATAATGCGTTGAGGGAGCTCGCATATTTTTGGGATACGACGTCGCATCGCAGTTTTGTATACGAGCCATTAATCATGAAAATATCTGTGATAATGTATTGCAAAACTTGTGTTTAGCAAGGATGTCTGGCTACACATGAATTTCATGGGTCGTCAACGACATATTACTATTATGTTTAAAGAGGAACTTTCAGCTCTTAAAAACGATGTAGTATCTAATCATAATAATTGTCCTTTTGATAAAACAAAATGAAATGGCACTATTCTATCTTTCTTTTACAGACAAATAAAACTACAAAGGAGGTTAAAGAAAGTGGTTGATGCTGTTAAATTCTTCCTGCTAAATGAATGGAAGTTTTCTGACGACAATATTAGAAACCTCTTAAATACAATGTCGCCTGTGGACAAAGAAATATTTAATTTCGACGTGAAAACTATTAATTGGGAGTCGTGCATCGAAGATTATATTTTAGGAGCGCGAAAATATTTATTGAAATCTGAAAAGTAATTGGAAAATGATTGAGTTTAATTTTTATATTGTAACTTTTGTGAAGCATAGTATAATATATTACGTAGGTTGTATAGTTTATTCACGAAGTTATAGACGAGGTTATCCGACTGTACTTTTTACACTACACGGCGTCGCTTGCCGCGCATGTTCCTCAACACTTATCTGTGGCCCCTGGCTGGGCTTGAAACCAGTCGAGCAATATCCTCAAAATAATAATTATGTGAATAAGCTGTAATTAGATGCATTATTATAACTAATTTTTTAATTTTTGTATATTTAATAGGAATAGATTTATGTAATAACAAATTGTATCACTCTAGAATTTTAAGAAGAAATATCACTAACATTATTTGTATAAGTAATTATGTTTAAGAAAATTAATAAAAGAGTGCGTCCATGTTTAAGTTTCAGATTGAATCTTCCTTGTGAAACGTTACCTTCTTTTAGCATAATTCTAATTATTTATACACTGAAATGCTCCTTCTAATTTATATTTAAGTACTGTTAAATTGATGTTAAAGAAACGCAAACCATCGAATTTGTACAAACACCAAACCAGACTGAACTTGAGAAGCATCAGCTAAAAATATCCTCAAATGTACTTAATACTTACTGAAGTATGATCCAAATGTAAACAGTGTAAATTCCGAGGCAAACGGCTTCCATCTTTTTAGAGCGCTGCTTAAAATCCGAAACGAAATCTTCATCTCTTTACCGCTCCAATTCGATAAACATAAGCCTCGCTTTAAAAACGCCAAGCGAAACCACAGGATGTCACAAAACTCGCGTTTATATTGATCTCGGCTTGCCAACTAACGAAGCGCAATGCTCACTAAATCATAGGATTATACGCACTATCTCACTCATGCAGGTAACACAGTTAAAATAAATGAAGGTTTAGTACCAACTGGAGGGTAGTTTGTGCTATGAGTTCTATTGTTTGATGGGATGACAGTTTTATGTGTGTCTATCTAGTAGGTACGTCTATGTTATGGTTGGAAGTGAAATTATAACATCCTGTATTATTAGTTTTATGTAGTAAATGTGTTAGTTGTTAATGGAGCTTAGATTTAATTCTTTGGGTGCTACTTCGGCTTATGCGGCATCTTCTTTAAGCGATAAAGTTGAAAATAGAATGTTCTTAATTTATCAAACAGTGTTACTCAGCTTCGATTATATTATGATACGTGAATAAGTAGTACTCATTCATAAAAGCTGATCGAAAACTCGTAGGCGGGGCTCGACGTAGTACAGTGAACACGTACCAAGACCAAGACACTCGAATTTCCTTTGAAAATGTTTAAAAATTCAGTGACAACCAAATGTCACTGCTACATCCTTAGCTGCGGCTGCGTTCCGCTATTGGTTGTCAAATTCCATAATCCTATCGATGATTCTAGAGAACTACCAGGGTTGTCAAAGAATTTTCTAGAGCGTTTACATTGGAACCACGTTCATCTTACTTTAACGTTCTATTTGACATGCCCCTATCTCGTTGCCATGCAGTTCTCGTATCTGTAGTATTGAGGTTTGTGAGCACATATAGTTTAGTCATATAAGGGTCTTTGAATTCATAATATGCATCTACAATCCAACATGCTTGGTTGTAAATTGTTTTACTTTATTTATAAAATATGCATTTTTATTTGCAAAAAGATGAGGACGGCTTTTGAAGTTATAACTTGTAACTGACTGAATGTCAATGATTCGTTGGTTATTTTCTTCATGTTATTATAGTTATGATGCTCCATTACAGATCTGTATTTCTTATAATTAACCAGTTTTCAAAACGGTTCTAACTATTCCGTAAAAATAAACCTTTTAAAATGTTTTGGCCTTCTCAATATAATTGGATAATTTCCAGGGTATCAAAATTCAAAATCTATTTAGTCCGTCAGTTAGATAATGAAAAAATATTAGACACGTATTTTTTTTATTTTCTCGTATTACGTTGCAATACTTACATAAAATAGCGCTATGTTTAGGAGTGGGAGGTTGTTACGTCATACCATGCTACAAAATGAGACACGCTGTGACGTCACACGATATTTCAAATTAATATTTATAGTCGAAAGTATTTAATTTTGTGAGAAAAGAAAAAAAAACGTGTCTAAAGTTTAAAATTAATGTACCAGACGGACATTGATTGGAAACTATCCTATTGTGTCTATTAACTAATTAACAACATAAGTACTTAAACAACCCTTTAAAAGTCGGCACTTCTTGAGCAAACAACCAGATCACAACTAAAGCTGGTTAAAGGACTAATATTATAGTCGTTTATCCTTTTACCAGCCTTTTGAATCCAGTAGGAGGTTAGGTAAATAATGTAGGTCGATTCATTCATACAACTGACCTCTCATGTCAAGTACCATGGTAATTAGGGATTCTGTCAAGCGGTGAACTGAAATCACGATCTTTCATGCATGGCTGGCTTTTTGTATGAGATAATCTACACAAATTGGCAATTTCGATATTATTAGGGACGAGCGTTATTGTGTGAGGATATTAGATTCATAATGACGATCTTATCTAATATAATGTTGGTTAGCTAATTAAAATTAGGTATGGGATGGTTTATTAGTCGATTTTTTTATAGTTTAGTTTAGTACATTATGCGGTTTGTTCTTTTCTATGTTCTAGAACATGTAACATGTAAATGTTAGTCGTATTCTATGTGTGGGAAGCAGAATAATAATTTATATATCACAAAACAACTTTTCAGATATTAAAACTGGGGGTTAAACGTTCATTTTTTGAGGGGGGAAAATCATCCAATGACTTCTCCCACCCGGGTGACGCGAGAGGGAGTGTCAGACTCTTACTGACTAAAAACTGCACCGTTCCTACTCCGCCAACCTGTAAAGTCTTCCGCGGCTCCGTATCGGTATCAGCCCTGTTGGGCCCCATCTGTGGTGGTCTGATGGCTTCTTAAGGCGTGTGCGGAACGCGACGCACCGTACGCTCGGGCCTGGTTCTGGTCGGGCTGCGAGTCATCCGTGCTCGCCATCCGCAGGTCCGTGCTTTCATGGCCGGAGATCGTCTCGCGTTTTTTCCCGCCCAATCCAAAACAGGAAGCTACCGAAACTTCCGTGTCCGGTAAGCACCTGCGTTAAGCGATAGGTGAGGATGCCGTAGCGTCTCTCAAGCCACTCCTCAAAGAGGGGACTTACTACTGCAATGACAGCTGGAGGTTAAACCTGCAATATATTTTATAATAGTGAATTATCCAGTCTCAGACGTAACTATGTTTGATTTTATCGCTTGTAGATTTTTCGGATTTTTGCAAACGAACACTTAGAGAATATATTAATCTAATGATAGTAAAAGCAAGCTATCATTAGGTTTCTGATTTGGGGCAATAGCTAGCTAGGCGAACGGCTCGCTCGATTTTGCAATGGGATTACCTATTGACATAATTGGCAAAACGTACTTTAGAGTGGAGGGATTGAATGAACAGTTAAATCTGGTTTTACGTTTCAGACTGACTGTCTGATTAGGGTCATCAACAGCCTATAAGTGGGCCCCTGCTGACCAGAGGCCTCTTGTCATATGGAGACGCTACGCCTACTTGGTGCGGGCTGCCTACATAATCATGATAAGGGTATAATTATTAGAGAATGATATTTAGATAAACTAGTAGAAGTGAGAAGAACAGAATGTATATTTTGTCTCCATCCCTACTCTTCCTGTGGGTTATATTATACGGATTTCACACAGTCTTTTGAGAGAGATCAAGAAAGCGTAGAAGAGCCATGCTTCGGCACGAATGGGCTGGCCCGACCAGAGTGATATCACAGCCTCATAGAAAACCGACGTGAAACAACGCTTGCATTGTGTTTTGTCGTGTGAGTGAGGTTACCATGGGCGGCACCGATTGGTTACCATCAAGTGATCCGTCTGCTCGTTTGTTGGCATATCCCATAAAAAAGCGTATAGTCTAGCAGTGGACTGTAATAGTAAAACAAGTTAACTGAGGCCTTAGTACAAGGTTTATTTACGTTTAGAGTATTCGAAACGAGTATGCGTTCGGCGCTCTGATTGGCCAGCACCAATAAACCAACCAACCAGAGCGCCGAACGCGTACTCGTTACGATTACTTTAAACGTAAAACTAATTCATACTAAGGCCTCAGTAAGTAATTCGAAATTCGATCGTAGTGCGTTCTTTTTTTAAAGGTGATACATTAGCTTAATGAATAGTTCCATTCAGCCTGCACTACACACCCCTCAGAGATTGACTAATGGGTTTTCCTCTTTCATGGAAATTAAACAATTTATTTTCTAAAAATACACTCACCTATTTCAAAATACTGTTTGTCGAATACACATCAAAGTTCGTTCGTACCTTTTATCTGTGGGTGTATTATAGAATTACTCATTGTTCGTTGAAGTAGAAACTTGATCAATATTTAGTATTATACTGCGTGAAATCTGTATTACGTTTTTGTCCGGCGGCAAAACAACTTGCCATATGGATTACTTTCTAAGTACAGTAAGAACAAAAATATTAAATGTAATTTTTTATAGTTACAAACAGAGAAGCTTCATTGATTATAATATTTTAAGTATGACAAATAAGATCGGTTGTTTAAATAAAGCAGAATGTACCATTAATTTGTTCGATTTAGAATTAGTTATATGTAGCACAAAATTATTCAATAAGAGTTTTATGAGAAGGTTTTGGAAAGTATAGGTACCTAAAGGATAACAGAAATGATTTGTTTCTTATGTTGATTCCATTGAAAAAGCTTGGAACCTACTGAATCTATCTGAAAAAGAAAATTTACTATAGTAAACCATTTATTTATTTAATTATCATTTCATGTACATCTTACAGAGGACAACACATTACAAACATGAGGTACATAGGTATCTACTGCATATCCCTTAAGCGATTCCTTCCTGGGTACCTGCGACTGGAAAATTTTAAAGAGCAACATAGACTACTTCAATTTATCAAGAGCTTTTGGAAAATCATAGGTAAAACTGCAAGGTGATAGTAGCTAACAAAACTAAAACAAAGATCAAGAAAATAAAAAGTTATTTATTCAATTGTATTTGATTCAAAGATACAATAAACACAAACACGATCTTGATACTTCTATTATTAGAGAGGACTCAATAATTCTATGAAACTGAGGGGGAGGGGAGAGTAGAAGGTATTTGATTGTTTGAGACGTGTCCGTAGACGGTTCTAGAAGCTACGATGGGGAGGCTATTCATATTTTACGGTAGTTAAACTATTAATGGTGTATGGAGACTGGACTTAATACCTATCTGGTTATGGTTCATAATAAGTTTGATCTAGTTCCTCGAGGAGATTTCATTTTTAATATAGAAGTGGTTTAATTTCTTGTTTGTTTAATTGTAGAATACTTTATAGTTTAAGGTCCTTAGGTTGATCTTGAAAATTATATGTTACTAGCTGTACCCGCAACTTCGTTTGCGTTTTTCTAAAATAATAGCCGCACATGTTACTTCTTAGTCCATCAGCTACCTGTCAATAACGGTCACGTCAAAATCGGCCCAGTCATTTCAGAGATTAGACAGCACAAACAGATGGACAGACAAGAATTGTAAAATGTGTTATTTTGGTATAAATGTATCGTATTTTCATGTATATTATCATAATTCATAAGCGTGTAGTAATAAGCGTTAATTGGATTGGACTTATGTAGGTATTTTTTATTTCTTTGAAAATTATAAATACATATCGGACCAACAAAACTATGTAACTAGAGAATTGTATTGTTAACCCGATTGAAAAAGAGTAACCTATGGAGTTTCTTGCTCGTCCTTCTCCATAGGAATCTACACCTTGGAATGAGCAACTAGCTTCACTTCTAAATTTTTATAGTTAACGATCAGAAGTGCGTTCGGTCTAATTGAAATAAATGATTTTGACTTTGACTTCAACATATATGATAATATACGGATATGAATCAAGTAGAAAAAACAAAACAGTAATGATTAATTTACATGATGTTTTTCTGAAAAACTTCCTTAAGTAACATTTTAACGAGGGTTCAATCAAAGAATTACGAAGTTCCCTCTGTTAGTCATTTAGATAGCGGTACACAAAAGGTCGACCATTGATTTCATTAATAACTTGAATTTACATAATTATTAATTCATTACTGCCTCATTGGCCGAGTGGTCGCAAGTGCGACTGCCGGGCAAGGGGTCTCGGGTTCGATTCCCGGGTCGGGCAAAATATTACTGGGTTTTTAAAAAA